CCACCAAACGTCATTTTTAAGATGGTATAAAATATTTAATTCTGTTGATTTTTTTTTCTTTACTCTGTAAAATTGTAATTTTGACAAAATGGGCAAATAGAAAAAAAAATTTATTCATTAAATCTTCTAACCCACTCTGAATGATTTCATTCCTTTTCAAATTTTCCTCTGTAATGAAAATTGTAAATGTTCATTTGACAGAGTATACGAAGGGTGATCAAAAAGTAAACGATATCTTAGGTATTTGATAGTTATATTATTGTTGAAATATTCAAGTACTTTTCAAAGTGTAAATTGGAGGTCTTTGATAACAAATTGCTTAATTAAAAGCACATCCGTTTTCAAACTTGCTTTCACCGGGCAACATAACTTTTCCCAACCTTACTTATACTATAGGAAATGTTAATTGAAAGCCTGGTTGGCCCCTCCACTTTTAAAGTTATAGTGATGCACCGGAAATGTAGTATTAGAATTGGTACTAAAAGTATTTGACACCGAGTGTTTACCTACCTCCCTCCCCCCCCCCCCCCCCCCACGAAATAGGATTTTCGACTTTGGGAAACTTTATCCTTTTTTTTTGCTTGTCAACTTATTTCAGGTAAGTAAAAAAAAATTTTCTCTGGCTGCCCCCCCCCATTTCAAAAACGATGCTACGCCACTGTATCATATTTAACCATCTGCCTTCCTTCACTAAAACGATCTATCCAATCATTGATTGAATTTATAGGAAGTAATTTGTCTTAATAAACTGTGAACAAATTCTTATACGCTACTTCAAAGGCATTTCAAAGATATACCATAATATTTTTGTCGTTTGTTGAACGAGTTCCACTGAGACAACCATTTTTCGTCACAAGTACCTGCATAATGACGTCATTTTCACATTGTGAGCAAAACTTTATTCAGCATATGCTATTTATAGAACTTGTGTTTGGCTATGTGTGTACCAAATTTGTTTCTAATCTGAATTGTGGTTTTGTACATACACATGTATAGAGATAGTTTGCGAACATTTTGATCACCCCTCATACTAGTAGGTACTAAAACAAGGTCATTCATATAGATTTTTGTGTTTAATTTCTTTGTGTTTCAATGGTGATAATTAAACTTTTGATAGATATTATAAGTTATCTTTGGCAAACTTACAAACTCTTAGTTTTTAAGTTAGATGGTGCTCATTTTTCCTTACCTGGAATCAAAGAGTTTAAGATTTTTATATATCAATACTACACTATTTAACAACTGTTCGATAAAAATACTAAATAAATTACTTCAAGAAACACTATAACACATTTCCTCTTTTAAAAGTGTTCATATTATTTGAAATATTTTGCTACTGTAATTCTCTTTTACATTTAAAGATTGTTATGTCCCTCCATATTAAGAAGAGGTCTGGAAAACAAAATTCTGTGCTAAAAATAGATCACGTGCTGCTATCCATGAACTACTTTCATAGTTCTTTACACTCTCTTTGAAGACAACGATACATTGTGTTGAACTTCAAATTATTATTTAAAAGTGCAACATTTAGACATTTTCTCAACAAATGGTTGTAGAGAGAACATTAATGCACAGTTTGCATATTTTTTTGGATTTTTTAAGGCTTTGCTGAATTCTGTAGCTGCGCAGTTCTAAGGAGCATATCAAAAGCATTTTTCTGCAAAAGTATAGATAATTTATGCACAACATGCATTCAGTTATGCATATTTATTGTATCTTTATCATAAAGACTTAAAATTTGATCAAAATATAATGTATTTTAGCCATTTGAAGAAATGTTTACATTTTGTCCTCACTGCACTAAAGGTGGCCGTACATCCCCCTTAATGCGTATTCAAAGTAATTTAGTGAATTCAAAAATAATGTCAGGCAAATCGATATTTTTTTTAATTCAACTTACCATAACACACATTTTAATTACAACATCAAACTGCATATTTGATCTAGTTAAAAATTCTAAAGTAATAATAGAATAGACAAAATAACAAAGTAGATAATTACAACATTAGTAGAACTTCATTTGAAAAGAAGAAAATAGAATTAAATTTAAAAGATTTAAATATTTAATCAAAAGAAAATGTTAGCGATACAATTAAAAATGATTCGACCTAAACCTGAATTCAGTTTTTAATCTCTTGTGTATATAAAAAGGGGATTTTTGTTATCTTACAGAAATTGTCTCAGTACTGGTTTCAAAAGTTTTTGTCTGAGAAGTCTATGGAGCAATAAATTCCACATAAAATCTTTTTGTCCATTTAGGTAATTTTTCTTATCTAAGTAAATTATCTTTTGATATTTTAACAAAATTGCTTACAAAAAAAAAATAAATAAATAAAAAATAAAAAAAAAACAATAGTTTCTGAAAAGATTACTTTATTTTGTTGCACTCCTTACATCTGATGTTTTTTTTTAATCCATCTTTCTTTTTCAAAACAGTAATACACAATATCAATTACTCATTCAAAGTTTGTTGAAAAGTTGTCGTGTTGATATTCTAATCATTTCCAGTAGTATTTAAAATACATGACAAAGAAATTCGATATGTCTATAATAAATTTCAAAATATGTTAAGTGAAAAAAAGATGAATTGTCGTGAATTGACTTTAAAAGTCCCGAAGAAGTATGACTTCATTGATAGACCTTATGATTTCAATTACAAAGAGTATCAAACATTTACTGCAATATATTTTTTTTTGTAAATAGAGATGTAGTTCATAGATAAATATAAAACCGTTTTATTGCACTCCTGATGCGGTAAAACTTAAAATTAAAAACAATAAAATTCATTTTTTGTTGATGTCAAATGTAAACGAAATTATGAAATATTAATTTTGTCAATTCTTCATGGATCTATGCATAAAAAGGTTTTTTTTTTGTAAAATAAGACTTTGATCAAATAAATGTCAAAAATATCTAAACTATATTCAGTGGATAAATGTCTATTTCATTTTATTTTACTTCCTTTTACACTGTAAGTAATTAAGTTCATCCGGAAACATTCTACTTATTTTTTTTTCTTTTCATCTATACATATTTGATCTATAGAAACCTTACTCTCATTAACCATGCTGCTTGTGATTCAAATAACATTTTTAACTGTTTAAAGGTATACCGGTTTTTGCTTCACACTTTGAAAATTCTCTTTTGACTTAATATTTTTGCATAGTTTTCAATTTATTTTTAGGTCCCCTGAGTCCTACTCTTTACTTCCGGAAATCAAACTGCTTAACGTAGAACCTACGTCGTGTGACATCATAACTAGTGAATGTGTTTAGCCTGTGCTAGATCCATTATGACGTCATAATTAATTCAATGTCATTTTTTCCCGTACATTACAGCTTCAATAGAAATGGTAGAAAATACTGCATTTTGAAATTCACGCAATTTAAAATCATGCCGAAATAATCTTAATTCAATTTATATATTTTTTGGCTTATAATGCTTAACGACAATATATTTCTTGAATTAAAGAAACCTGTAGGGACCTTCCATTTAGATCTTGACCTTAAATAAGCTGACAAATCATGATATCTTGTGTAATGAAATAACAATGTATACAACTTACTGTAATAATATAAATAGTATGTAATTATTTTGAAGGAAGTCAAAGATCCTAAAAAATCTTCAGTTGCCAACTCAAAAGTGTAATATTTTGATAAAATGTGTATAAGTCAAAGATGTGCGTGTAGTAGATCGTGTGTACATTTTGTGACATCTATCATGAAATGATGTGCATTCCTTTTCATAATAATTTGTTACTTATTCATATTCTTGGAGTTTGATTACAATTTTTTCTATTAAATATGAACTTTTAAATTAAAAGTACAATTTTTTATAAATATTATTAATCTGAAAGTAACCCCAAACAGTCAATTAATAAATAAATCCTATGTAAGTGCAAAAAGGTCAAGAAAGTAGCAGCATCGGTGAATAACTTATCTTGCGTTAATTTTAAGGGAGAGGTTAATATTTTAATCACTTTTTATAATCATTTGAGCACGTTATTCATCATATTAAAGCTTGAAAACATTCTGACAGAGACTTCTCAAAAATATTTAAAAATGTAGGGTGGAAAATTGACTGAAAATAAATCGAGTTCATTTGCCTATAGTTTTTAAAATCTGGACTTATCTTTTATGTCAATTGAATAAAAAAGAAATTATTTTCCGGAAATATTGCTTAATATTGTTCAATTAATAAACAATAAAAACAATGATGTTTGAAGAAGTAATTTTGTGATTTTTTGTCTTCTTTGCATGATAAGTACCCCCTAAAAATGACTGAAATTGTGAAGTCGCAATATGTTATTATCATTCCATGTTTCACAGGCTGCACTTCAACAAGGAAACATGGCATGTGCTTTTGACTGATTGACTTGCTTATTTATCATTATGAAAAGTTTGAAAATCTTGTGACAAAGACTTCTCTGACATATGTTCTACCTTTAGCACTCTGATGATTATAATAAGCATTGAATGATTGATTGCTTTTTGAGACGCCTCCACTTGCCGATGGAGAGCTACAAATGTTGTCCTATACTTGTCACTCAGGGTCATTGAACAGTGAAAGATCTTTTTCGACTAGCATTCACTGCGACACGGGACCTAAGTTTTGCTATTATAATACCTTTCATCTCATCGAGAGGTCCAACATCTCACTCATCGGTCTAACATCGACTTTTTTTTTGTCCACTCAGTAAAACATCAGAAATGTTAGACTTTTGATTTATAGCAAGCGGGGAGGCGAGCTATAACGACAAGGTTTGGGCGATAAAAAAAATTAGGACTACTGCACATGCATTCAATATTTATTCTATAGCCACAATTCATCGCTTGTTAATCTAGTTCCCGCAGGAATAACAACAAAATTTTAAAAAAAACTATATTTAATGTATATATTGAAGATAATAAGATTGTTTTGGTAGATTAATGCAACTTACACACGGAATCATGTGACGTCAGAGTAAGTGTTGTCATAATATTATTTCAAAGAGAATCACATCATTTCTCAATGTCTTTTGAACATATGTAGAGAGATGAAGCTTTAAGACAACAATTATCATATACGGAATTGGTGAGTTTTCCTACATGCAGCACCCCACAATGTCCAACTGCACAAGGATGCATCAAGCCATCATAATTATTTACGTAAAATGGAATGGAAAGATTTGGTGACAATTTAACTCCATTCGACCACTTCCATGTGTATTTTCCTGGTCCTTGGGTATTGTTTAGTCCTATCAGGAGTATTTTTCCTTGAAAACTCGAGCCATCTTTGAAAAGGAAGAAGATATGTATTTATTAAATGTAAACAGAGTATAATTTTACAAAAACTGCGAGGTAAAGACAAGATCGAGGTAGTTCTATTCTATATCTTTCCCTGTTAAGTTCGGCATTCCATTAAACTAAGTCCATTAAAGGACAAGGTATGATAATCGCTGAATCTGGCCCCTTATTTGATGCTATCAGAACACAGAAAAACTGTGATAGTTTGTACTTAAGAAATTAAATTGATGCTAGTTTTAAAACCAGTACTAATTTTTATTCAAAGCTCATGCGGAGGCGACAAGAGAGTGCAGAATTAGGACGTTTTCGTCAAATTTGAGATACTGTTCACTTCGGAAAACATGGGGCACATACTTGTCTATCTGGGTTTTTACATAATAGATGCTTCTGAGTTTGTGCTCTATGTTTTCTGAAAGAAAATGTGTTGTGAAATTGATTTAAATTTGCAAAAAAAAAATTACATATTTTCTGTCAATCCTATGACTGCTATGTATCGCTCAACAGAACCATTCCTTATTTTGTGGCAGGGGTGATAAGTAGTTTTCAATTTATTAATTGTTGTATCATTCTAAAAGACACCCCAATCCAGGGTCCAAAAAGAGGTCTTACCCTATCTTGTCCTTTAATAACCTCTTTGTAAATTGTAAGATTAATGTTGGAATTTTTTAGGTCAATACATTGATTTAGTCACCTGAATAGGACAATATTCCTCGAAGGGCGAGGTAAATATTATACTTCGAAGATGGCAAAATCATCGTGTTCACAGAAAAATGTATTGTGTTACTACATGATTCAATGATTAATTGAAACAAGTTAAACATAATCAGTTGCATTAATTAGAATTTTTGAAATTAAATCTATTTAAGGCAAGGCTTGGAAAAAAGTAAATCTGGTAGGATGTATTCTTTTTCAAGACAAGAGGCCCATGGGCCTTATAGGTCACCTGAGCATCAAGCAACTTTTCAACCATTGAATTTGGTTCATATTTTAAACCAGAGGCCATGGCATGCACACTTTTGCACCACTGCTCATCGTAACAGCATGCTTAGTTTAGTTACTTAATATCCATAGGGAGAGTACAGGAAAAAATGCATTTCAAGTAATCAGTAATATTCAGCAATAATCAGTAGTGCCCCAACCCACAGGAACCCCTGACCCTGGGTTCACACATTGCACAAATTTGGAAAGCACACCCTTGCTGATCAGAAATGTTTGAAGACATTAATTCATTTTCAGTACATGTATATAATTGGAGCTCCCTCCGCTACGCTACTTTTGAAATACACAATTCTGAATGAAGGACCCTTGGTCTTCATACTTTGCATTTGAAAAAAAAACTTTATCTCCGTTTGTAGTGATGAATTTATTTTCTTATTCCTGAAAACCTCATGCAATTAAAACTGGACACATACAAAACAAATTATATCAGATTTATTGAGGTGTAAATTCATTCAGTATATAATAATAAACTACAAGTAAACTATAAAGATGTTTATAATTAATCAATAGTTCTTGATCATATCAGCAGTTTGCAATAAAAATTAATCTTAATCTAGAATCATACAATATATTTATGTGCATATATACATATAATATACTGGTAGTATATATTGGTTACATATTAATCATTGTACAACAATCACTTGTATCATCATGTCATATTTACAACATCTGCATTCAATAGTTGTGTCCAATAGGAATGTGTTTAACATTTCATATAATGTTATGATTTAAATTATTTTGTTTAGTTTTGAAAGCTAAAAGTCCTTGATTGCTAAAAATGTTTTGCAAATGTCTGAAATTTTACCATAAAACAATGTGAAGCAATTTTCACTTTTATTTATACATCATCTGAAAGAAGCAAGGTTTACCTCCCTTTACGGGCTGGCCATTGACCCCTTCTTTCCACAATACTTACCTTCAAAAAGTGCATGCTTCATGTAGAAGATTTCAGACACTTACAACATTAAAAAGAACTTGAAAAAAATAAAAAAAAAAAAAAAAAATTGAGTCCATTGTACTGTAGTAAGGTTTGGGGCATGAACAAGCACATTGACCCCCTTAGCATATTTTATACCAATACATTTCCCTGTTATTGGACATCTGCACATGATGTAAAAAAATTAACCACTGAGTTATCCTAACTTTTTCACAATTTTGTACAGACAAATTTAATGCAACTGGACAAAATGTAAAATATTTGAAATTATTAAGTACATTGTTTAAACCATCTTGCTCTGGCAATAAGCATTTCAAAGCATTGCAAAAACAAAAGAAAACAAAAAAGTTGAATAAAAATTTTCTATATCATTAAGGGGAGACAGGACACATGTCACATGACTCAAAAGACATATTACGTCATAGTCGATGCTGATATACATGTTAAACGTTGTTAAAATCAACAGTTCTTGTGTAATTTTATACTAAAATTGGTTTTTAAACATTTATTTTCAAAAATAAATATTTAAGATGTATAAAGATCTTGTCAACATTTAGATATTGTGAAATTGCCAAATCCATACATCCGTTTCTCTTTACCTTGCAGTCTGACGTCAGTGACGTCATAGACGTAGTGTTTGAATTCTCAGTGCAGCGAGATCAAGTACACATTAGCTACACCCGTCAAGATCAATTTTATTTCATAATAAACAGGTCACAGTCAATGCATCGTGATAAATTTCTGAAGCAGAATTTTTACATTAATATTTTTTCATGTTTAGTAGCAGAGATTCTCTCTATTTAGAATATTTTGCGTGCCTATGTTTTCGTGTGACGTCACAATTGATTTCCCGCACTGGGAAAATGCAAACGTGAAGCGTTTTTATCATGCATACGTCTAATTCAACGATGTCCTGTGCGATATTGAGGTAAGCTTCACCTTTCGATATTTATGCAGTAAATAATTACGATGAAGGACTGACATTCAATCGTAAATTTAGCGATATTTATCGACAGAATTTTTTCCAAAATGAGGTTTTTGTTGTTGAAGCTGCCTTGAAAATTAAGAAATTATCCCACCCAAATACTATGTGAAATTAAAACAAATGCTTTCAGATAATATAAACACTATGGATATTCTAAAATATTTGAGTAGATAGTGTTATCAAACATATTTAATATTTGTGCGCAAAAATTCGCATTATGGGCTCTGTAACGGACCCGTAAACATGAAGTATCGGAACTCCATACAAACACTATACAGGGCGATATTTGTGAGGCGATATCTTTAAAATTAGTCAAGAAATCTCATGACAGGACCGGTTCAAAATGTTAAGTACATATTAAATTAATAATATAAAAAAATACGAAAAAAATTCATTGACAGGAATTTTTTTAGCTAAAGGTCCTGTTCCTCCTTAAATACTACATATATAGTGTGATTTATTAAGGCCATTCCAAGTTTTTTCTCTGTTTAGCGTCCACTCATCTTTCAAAAATCTACCTACCTATTCGCAAAAAACACACAAGCCAAAACATAAGACACAAGCTTAAAAGTCATAAAAATGACGTCCTTCAAATGATTTGTTCTCACTAAACTGCTTTAATAGAAGAAATATCTATTCTTAAGCAAAAACAACGGGTTAAATGCTTACAATACACCCAATATAACTTAATGTACAGAATTATTTGGAAAAATTTACAAAATTCAAAAATTTCGACTTTATTTAATCAATTTCAGGACTCCTGTTGTTGTGTGTTTTTACTCATATGGGGTGTCATAAACCAAGGCGCACGCGGTCGCTAAACATAGAAAAAACTTGGAATAGCCTAATCTAAAAATTGTGCAATTGAGCTAATATTGTTCATATTTCAAAGAAACAGCTGCTTTAATTCATTTTTAGAACAAGTATTTAACCTTACATAACGAAAACAATAAAAAAAGATTAAAAGTTGTTCATATAATGAGATACAAAGACCATGCAGGTTTCAGGGTCATAAAACAGATCCAATATTAGACTCCATCAAGTCAAAATTTAAGTCTTTATAAAGTGAACACTACTGTGCATATACTAAGTGATTCTTAAAGAATTACTACTAATATAAATTGTACAATGTAACTCATATTTTTCATATTTCAAAGAAATGTTTTCAGCTGCATTCATACATTTTTAGAACAACTTTTTTAACCTTACATACCGAAAACGAAAAGAAAGATTAAAAGTTGTTCATATAAGGAGATACAAAGATCATAAAGGTTTTAAGATCATGAAACAGAATAATGAATGTTTACTTGAGGATAAATAACACAAACTTTTTCCTTCAAAACATTCAATTATCTTAGGTGCCTCTCTCACTTAAGATGTGATATTTGTTGACCTTAACAACAAATGTTTGGCCAAGCAACATAATGTGGTGAGAAAAAAGCAGAAATGAAACTTTACTGCTCAATAAGTTTTTAATTAGATTTCCATAGAAAGGAATATTGAAAAATTATCAGTGTAACTCTTCTGTGTGGGAGATAAAAAAATTGTTTATAGTATGTATCCTTAAACATGTTAAAGAAACATGGATGTTTCTAAGGGTGACTATGGTACTGTACTAATATGACACTTATCACAATTAAAAAATTCCAAATTGTCCATGTCGAGTTGAGAAACATTTCAGTATTAGCAAGAAATAATAAATAAAACTAAATAAACTAAATAACAAATAATTTCATTGGAATCACAGAATGTAGATAACACTATTGTTTTCCATGTAACACAATGAATTAGTCTATGTAAAAAAAAAAAGATCAACATTTTTATAAGTAATAGAGCACGGGAGTATTCAAGTCCTTTCAGATACAGAATGTTCATTTAAAAGTTTTATATGTCCACTGGAGCAAGTGTTTGTTTTCAGGGAGAAAACTATTCTGGATGTTTACAATGTCTTTGTAGAGATACTCAGATAGTCACTTGTGATATTGACCAGGGTTACAAAGTAAGCAATGTAACTTTCATGAAAGTACATATTAATTATAATGTCATAATAATTGCAGAGTTCA